TCCAATGTATCGTGTCCGCCCTTCTACCCCCAGCGCGTGTCTATTTCACTGGGTTTTCTGTGGCTCCAGTTTGCACAGGAACAAGGGGGGAAATTAATGGAGTAGGCCTCAACGTATCCTGTCTGTCCCGAAGTACTGGTCCCAATGTCTGTATCACTAGCTTTTCTTTCTTATTTTTTTTCTTTTTCATCTTTGCTTTTTTTTGGGGGGGGTTTAGAGACAGGGTTTCTCTGTGTAGCTTTGGAGCCTATCCTGGCACTCACTCTGGAGACCAGGCTGGCCTCGAACTCACAGAGATCCACCTGCCTCTGCCTCACGAGTGCTGGGATTAAAGGCATGTGTCACCAATGCCCAGCTTAACTGGTTTTTCTATGGCTCCAGTTTGCACAGGAACAAGGGGAGAAATTAATTGCGTGGGCCCAATGCATCGTGTCCGCCCCCCTACCCTCAGCAAGTATCTATTTGACTGGTTTTTCTGTGGCTCCAGTTTACAAAGGAACGAGGGGAGAAATTAATGCAGTAGGCCCCATTGCTTGATGTCCGCCCCGCCTCGGCTGGTCCCAATATCTGTTTCACTGGCTTTTCTTTTTCTTTTTCTTTTTCTTTTTCTTTTTCTTTTTCTTTTTACTTTTTGGTTTTTTAGAGACAGGGTTTCTCTGTGTAGCTTTGGAGCCTATACTGGCACTCGCTCTGGAGACCAGGCTGGCCTCGAACTTACAGAGATCCAACTGCCTCTGCCTCACAAGTGCTCGGATTAAAGGCATGTGCCCCCAATGACCGGCTTTTCTGTGACTCCACTTTGCACAGGAACCAGGGAAGAAAATAATAGCGTGGGCATCAATGCATTGTGTCCAACCCCTCCCTCCCCTCGCTTGTACTTGTGTCTGTTTCACTGGCTTTTCTATGGCTCCGGTTTGCACCGGAACAAGGGGAGAAATTAATGGCATGGGCCCCAATGCATCGTGTCTCTCGCGCGTCCCCTCGCTTGTCATTGTGTCTGTTTCACTGACTTTTTATGGCTCCAGTTTGCACAGGAACAAGGGGCAAATTAACAGCGTGGGCCCCAATGCATCGAGTCCCTCGTCCCCTATCCCTGTCCCTGACTCCTGCTTCTGTATGTTTCAATGGCTTTTCTATGGCTCCAGTTTGCACAGGAACAAGGGAAAGAGTTAATGGCTTGGTCCCCAATGCATCATCCCCCCCCTCTCTGGAACTCGTGATCGTGTCTGTTTCACTGGTTTTACTGTGGCCCCAGTTTGCACAGGAACGGAGGGAGAAATTAATGGAGTAGGCCCCAATGCATCGTGTCCGCCCCGACCCGCTGGTCCCAACGTCTGTTTCACTGGCTTTCTTTTTTTAATTTTTTCTTTTTCTTATTGGATTTTTAGAGACAGGGTTTCTCTGTATAGCTTTGGAGCCTATCCTGGCACTCGCTCTGGACAACAGGCTGGCCTCGAACTCACAGGGATCCACCCGCCTCTGCCTCCTCAGTGCTGGGATAAAAGGCATGAGTCACCAAAGCCAGGCTTCACTGGCTTTTCTATGGCTCCAGTGTGCACCGGACAAGGGGAGAAAATAATGGCTTGGTCCCCAATGCATCGCGTCTGCCCATCCGCCCACCACGAGCTCTCCCCTGTTTGTTTCACTGGCTTTTCTATGGATCCAGTTTGCAGAGGAACCAGGGGAGAAAATAATAGCATGGGTCCCAATGCATCATATTCCCCGCCCGCGTCCTCGTGCTCGTCCTTGTGTCTGTTTCACTGGCTTTTCAATGGCTCTGGTTTGCACCGGAACAAGGGGGGAAATTACTAGATTGGGCTCCAATGCATCATCGCCCTCATCCCTCGCCCGAGCTCGTGCTCGTGTCTATTTCACTGGCTTTTCTATGGCTCCAGTTTGCACAGGAACAAGGGGAGAAATTAATGCATAGAAACAAATGCATCGTGTCCACCCCCCACCCCCGCCCTCGACCTGGTGTCTGTTTCACTGGGTTTTCTATGGCTTTAGTTTGCACAGAAACGAGGGGGTGGGAATTAATAGTGTGGACCCAGAATGCATCTTTCCCCCACCCACCGTGTCTGTTTCACTGACTTTGCTTACCTTTGGCCATCTTCAGCAGGGACACATTCTGCTGAAATTCCTAAAATAATTCAAGAATGAAATTTCTGTGCTACTCAGAGTATTGTGAGGACACTTGGCACTGTTGCTGGCCACCCATCTTGGGATGTAAATCATCCTCTGGTGGAACAGGTCCATGTAAGTGACCTGCCTACCGAATGCGCAGTAATTGTTGCATTAGATTTTTAAAAAAGATTTTATTTATTTATTATGTATTCTGCTTCCATGTATATGTGCACACCAGAATAGGGCACCAGATCTCATAATGGATGGTTGTGAGCCACCATGTGGGTGCTGGGATTTGAACTCAGGACCTCTGGAAGAGCAAGTCAGTGCTGTTAACCTCTGACTCATCTCTCCAGCTCTAGAATATTTTTTTTCTTTCGATAACTCAGTGCTTATGCTGAAGTAACCCATACTATACTAAATAATGGTCCCAGGGAACAAAGGGGGGTGATGTTGGCAGTTCTTATATGCTAAAAAGGAACCCTAAAATACATCTTTTAGCTAAAAAATCCTTTTAAAATGACAGATGTATTCATTACACTTTATAGATTCATTATATACACAAATGAAATTTAGCTATAAAACTCCCACAGGCATTTAAATAATTGGATCTGAAGAAGCCAATTCACAAATCTGAGTTGGTATGGTGTGGTAGTGAATGTCTGTGATTCCAATATTT